AAAAAAAAAGAAATTGCTTTTTTGACACACCCTGAACCGTTCGCATTGCGTATCTACTATTTGCATCGTATTGGTGAAATCAATAAGTTTTGCTTCCGCTTTCTTTAGCTCCTCACGAAGCTCCTGGTTGATTTTCTGCTCGATTACTGCTTCTCCAGCTTTGTTCCGTATAGATCTCAACTAGAATCAAAGGTATATGTCTGACATAAAAAGTATGTCTTCGAACTTACATCCTCTCCTAACTGCTGAAGCTTTTCCTCGGCTTTCCGCAACTCTGTGTTCAACCGTGCATTCTCCTTTATGAGTTTCTCCTCCTTACCACGGCAAGATTCAATTTCAGAATGTAATTTCGCCATTTCTGCTTTACTGCTCTTATTGGATTCGAGCTGGAATAGATAGTGACAACCGATCTTAAAACAAATCAGTTTCAGTAAAACCTTTTCCAGTTTTTCCTTTTGCTTAATGTAATCGCGGCGCAGTTCCAACAGTTCGCAACGCAAGTCTGCTTTTTGTTGTTTTACCTAAACAGTGCTTTTCGTGATACATTCCTATGAAAAAAATGTATAATGTTCGGACGGAGTAAATATCGGTAATCAAGAAGAGAAACACATGAGTGAATTTGGAGAAAACCTGCCTTGCTTGATTCCTCCAACAGGTACTGGTGAGTTAGAGAGGAACTACCTTCTATTTCAACTAATTTGCTTTGTAGCGCTGCTAACTCGGACTTCGCGGTTTCCGCTTTATCTCGTGCCTCTACAAGCTCCTGAAAGTTTGCGAAATTAAATCAAGCAATCATCTCCACTTGAAAAATTTCGAATCTCTATATTATCAGCGTGTAAGCAATTTCATTTTTCAAGATAAGAAGAACGCGGCTGTAATAAGGTTCACCTGAAAGCTATGTCTTACAACAGGCAAAGTTCAAAATCTGGCATTGGGAATTGAAAGGTTCCTGGAAGGCTTCTGGCTTCTGCACACAGTTATGACTTAACTTAGCGGCTACTGTACAATAGTGGTAAAACGTCTTGGGATGCATAAGACAGGACGCGAACCATGATCGAGTCACACTTTTCCGGTCGTGTGTATCGCTCCATTTTGAACTTTCATAGATTTTTAATGAACACAGGTGAGATAGCTTATGTCATTCCATTGAATCTTTTAGATTTCAAACGTCTGGATAAGAAGGAGATTCAAACCGAAATTCAAACAAAGTTAATACGAGAACCGGTCAATGGAAAACAACGAAAGCGCGCTTTCAAGCACCAGACACGTAAATGCGCAACCGTCGATAGATTTAAGTCATTAAAAACTATACTGAAGGTGAAGCAACTTAGAAAAAGTGTAGAATCATCAAAAAGACAGGAGAAAGACTACCTTGGATAGGGTTTCTTCTTTGTCTTTGTATTCCATGATTTTGTCCTCAAGGAACTTGTTGGTAGCAGATAATTCACCAAGGTGATGTTGAATATCAGCTATCTGCTAAAATGTTGCAGGTACTCTACGTTTAACAGGTGTAAGGTAACTAATGAAGAAATAAAATGAACGTTTGCATATAGTTGACCTATACCAGTTGCTGAAAG